TACTCATCATATGAAACACAGCTGCAATGAGCTGCCATTTTACGCTGGTGTTCTGTGAGATCTGATGAGATTTCTGTGACATAGGTTTATCAGAAGTTTGTTTTCCCTGAAGTCGCATAACGGTGTACAGCTGCTCCAACATTATCCGCAGTCGTGCGAACTATTGAAAATAACTTTTCTAACGTGATCGGATGACGTAAAAGGGCATGTGGGCCGTGGTACTGCCGGCCGCAATGTCGCTAATAAAAACATTTGCGTTTTTTTGCGTATAGAGATGAGACTGGCTGCTCTAATTGCCCACCCGCTCTACGCCATATGCATAGAGCAACACGGGCCACCGGAGGCGGAGCGGACTGGAGGGAAGTAGCGTTTGTTTCCCGATACAGAACTGTCAGTAAGTTTTTTTACCGGAGGGGAAATCTGCGCACTCAAAAACAATCGTCTGTCACTACGAAACTCACACATAACAATTAAAATAATAAACTAACAATTTCACACACACAAAGATACATTATAAAAGTATCGCTCGGTGACAACAATAACTCGGATACACACTCTGATCAGTCATTAGACCTATCGTATATTGTATGAGGGTAAGCGACCTGTCATCATCATCATCATCATTACAGCCCTTCACAAATCCACTGTTGAACATATGCCTCCCCCAAGGAATGCCACAAAACACGGTCCTGAGCCACCTGCCTCCATCGACTTCCTGCATGTCTCACCAGGTCGTCACTCCATCTAGTGGGGGTTGTCCTACACTTCGCCTCCCAATACGAGACTCCCACTCTAGAACCTTTTTTCCCCAACGGTTGTCGGTTCTTCGAGCTATATGGCCGGCCCATTGCCACTTCAGCCAACTAATCCGGGCTATATCAGTCACTCTGGTTCTACTGGGGATATCCTCATTTCTTAGTTTATCACGCAAAGAAACTCCGAGCATAGCAACCTCCATAGCTCGCTGAGCGATCTTAAGTTTCCTCATCCGGCCACCAGTGAAGCACCGCGTCTCAGTTCCATAGGTCATGACTGGCAACACGCACTGGTTGTACAGTCTCGTTTTCAAGTTTTGAGGTATACCTGAGGAGAATATGTGCCGTAATTTCTCGAACGCTGCCCAGCCGAGTTGAATCCGTCGATTGACCTCTCAGTCGAAGTTGGACTTACCTAGTCGGACTATTTGTCCCAGGTAAACATACTCGTCAAAAACTTCGAGCTCAGTGCTCCCAACAACTACCGGCATAGGTGTGACATGGAAGTTATACATAATCTTTGTTTTGTCCATGTTCATTTTAAGACCTAACCGTTGAGAGAGACTTTTGAAGTCGCATACAGTGTGCAACATAGTGCTTAGGTCCTCCAGAGATTCTGCCATAAGGACTATATAGTCGGTAAATCGAAGATGAGTGATGTACTCGCCGTTGATGTTAATACCGTATCATTTCCAGTCCAGAAGCTAGAAAACGTCTTCCAATGCAGCGTTCTTTAACACTCTCTTTAGTTTCGGGAATATAACGTCACCCTGTCTTACACCTCTCTGCAGTGGGATAGGTTTCGTACTCTGGTTCTTTCTCGGATAGCCATCGTAGCCCTACTGTACAAACACTCCAGCACTTCGATATACCGACAGTCAACTTGGCACCGCTGAAGGGACTGCAACAGCCTAAATTTCGACGGAATCTAAAGCTTTCCCATAGTAGTAGTGTAGTTGTACCACTTCTAGACCACCTGAGTCAGACGTGGTTCAACGACGTTCGTCGACGCCCGATCCTAAAAAAAAAAAAAAAAAAAAAAAGTTTTGGCATGCTCTGATCACGAATCCGCGGTCCATTTTTGTGTAGAATGCACGGTTCCAGAGATGTGTAGATCAATTAGCTAATATCTAATTGATATCCGGTAAGGGCCTCCACCGTCATTAGCGTCCCATTGTTCCTATTTCTATTGTTCTATTGTTCCTTAATCACCTTCATTGCAGCGTGTGCGTCGACTATATCAGTGCTTTTGTTTATTATAATTCTTTGTTTATACAACGCTAATCTGAATCATCAATAAAACACATTACATAATTTTGTTACAATTTTTATTTATAAAATACAAAATCTTATTAATTATTATCTATAAAATAGGAGCGAAACATCTCATCCACTAAAATATCGTTGTACAATGTGTTCCTTGTAAATATACTCGTAAAACTATGTATTGAACATCCTTGAAATTTATATAGCAAATACATTAAGCAATATTCGCCACAAACTGAAGTCCACTCATTCTGAATCCTATCAACATTCCAGTTCCATCTTTTACAATTCCTTTTTAAAAACTCTAGATGATATCGTACAGGTGATCGTCCATATGAATCAAAATATTGACCGACGTCATTCGTATCGATATATAAAGCTACCCAATGTGACCCTGGTTTATCATCTGTATCCAAATTACATATTATATACGTTGGTACGTGGGTATACATAGGCAGTCTATTAGCTGCATAAACATTATTTTCTAGACTGGGGTGAATCTTTTTCAGATGTTGTTGTACATCTAGTGTATCCATGATATTACTGCTATTAGTAGATTATTACAGTACCTAGCTACTCAATGAATAACATAGGAATGGTCAATTATAGTGATTTCTACATATTAAATTGCATTTTTGTGTTATACAAATCGTACTTGAGTCATTGATCACCAAACAAAACACAATACGAAGAAATGTTGAGATAGGCAACGGAAATGTGAGATAAACTGATATGTTTCTAAATATTAAATTGCATTTTTGTGTTATACAAATCGTACTTGAGTCATTGATCACCAAACAAAACACAATACGAAGAAATGTTGAGATAGGCAACGGAAATGTAAGATAAACTGGTTGACGCATAAAGTAATTATCAACTCATTACGGAAATACTTTAGATTAGAATTTTTACGTACTGGTGGTATATAAGACCAACAAACGCAGTCATCGAGTTAGTGTACGGTCGTTTGGCTACAGTGGATCTATCAATAGTACATTTTGTGTTACTTCAATACACCAAAGGCTATGGATGTAAGTGTTTATTCTATTGACTAAATTACTTTTTTTCTGTTATTTTCATGTGTGTGTATTATTTTATTTAAATATTGTGTATGTATATGATTAAGCCCTGGTAACTCAGATGGTTAGCGCTAGCTGTAAATTTCACAGTAGGCGACCCGGGTTCGATCCCCGCCAGCACCAATTAAATTGTTAATAGCAATTTTAAGTGCTTATTACCACGTGCTTGGTGGTGAAGGAAAACATCGTGAGGAAACCTGCATGTCTGAGAAAATTTCGAAGGCATGTGAAGTTCGCCAACACACATTGAGGGAGCGCGGCGGACATTTCCTTGCTCTAAAACCCTCTCAGAAATGAGAGGAGGCCTATGTTCAGCAGTGGACTTTAATAGGCTGTAACTTTAACTTTTTTAACTTTTATGATTAAGTGTTAACAAATTGATATTAACATGATAACTGTGTTGTTGCAGAAATCATTGAGCTTCGATGAAGATACCTATAAACAGTATTACTACTCGCCACTCTCCCCTCAAGAAGAGAGTGATAACCTCGTCATTAATAATAACACATGCGATGGTGGAAAAAGAAAATCGCAATCGATTGATCATTTTTTTGAAGCTGAATCAAAAATAAAAAAGAGGAAGGGAAAACTTCAGTGAAGTGTGCACCAGTGCTTTTTTCTCCACAATCATGGAAGAGAATACGGAACTATTCAATAGCGAATTAAATCAGGAGTTGTCTAAAGTTTGTGAAGAAATGGAGAGGGGTCAACTGTTCGATTCGTCATACGATGATGAGTTGTATCATCACTGTGCGATGGTTGAAACACAGTTTAAGTATGTAAAATAAACATTCATTTCGATCATAATTTACATATTGTCTGTAATTGTGTTGCTGCAGAAATCATTGAGCTTCGATGAAGATACCTATAAACAGTATTACTACTCGCCACTCTCCCCTCAAGAAGAGAGTGATGACCTCGTCATTAATAATAACACATGCGATGGTGGAAAAAGAAAATCGCAATCGATTGATCATTTTTTTGAAGCTGAATCAAAAATAAAAAAGAGGAAGCTGTTATCATCAACCGTAGCACGAGCCGCTAGAGATGGTGTATCATACATTTCTACTAATTCTGACGACGGAGACCAAGCGACGCATCTCATCAAAATTGAAATGTACGATATGAAGAAGCTATCCGAGATTCCAACTACTGATCATTGGAAACATGCTTCCACTAGAATTAAATATTACGTAAAGACTAATAAGGATAGCATCTACGACAATAAAAACGCCCTCGCTCCTAAATAATAACCTAAAAAATACAATATAACAAAGACAATAGCAGAAAGTGAAAAAGTTAAAAAATACTTTTTTAACAATGACAGTCATTAGCTGATCATTAGTGAATGTGATTCTGTTTACTTCAATTACAGGAAGACAAGAGCGGAAGGAAGAGATGAGTGTGGCATACGTGTACAAAACACATCATTGAATAACAAAACTACAACACTGAGTGGAGAAGAAAACGAGAAGAGTATGCAGTACTCAAGAGCTGAATATCCATTCTTCAGTTCAAAATCTAGCCGTTTGCTTAGTTTCGAAAACTGGCCTCTAGTTATGCGACAGAAACCTGAAGATCTTGCAGAAGCTGGTTTCTTTTATACTGGCCATGCAGACGGGACCAAGTGTTTCCATTGTGGTGGTGGTTTAAAAGATTGGGAAGATGATGATGATCCTTGGCAGCAGCATGTTCAGTGGTTTAGTCAGTGTGCTTATGTAAAATTTCAACTCGAACAGTGTTTTGTATTAGATTAAATAGAAGATTTATAAAGAAATAAAAAAAAATATATTGCATACAATTTGTTTTATTTAATTTTATAACGTTTCACATAGTTACATACACACAAAATGCATTACACATAACACATAAAATCTAACACACAACACATATTATAACCTTAACTACTATAGTCTACAGTAACATTTCTGTTTTTATCTATCTCAATAATATTATCAAACTCAGCATAAACTATACAGTTAATTGTTTGTATTAATGAGGATTCAAATCGTACTTCTATTCTTACACTACCATGCTTTATGAGATTCCAATGAGTTGATGAGTTAGCTGATAAATCAGGAGTTAAGTCAAATGCTAATAGACAGTAACCTTTGCCATACTGTTCACAAGAGATTCCATTTCCTTCATTAAGAAAGTGAATACCAGTTCCCGAGAATAGAGTATGATATGCTGATGTAAATATGCTATTATTAAAAGATGGTTGCAAAGCTTTTGAAGATATTTGTTGACCATCAATATATAAGCTGAAAGAATTAATACCATAGTTTTCAAAGTTAAATGGATTTTTAGTAAGGGAACCATTAAATGCAGAATTGTTCACAAATCCAATTATACATCTTTTCGGTACCTGTCCTAAAAATATATTATCAAGAGTTTTTCCTTGAACACCCGAAGGAATTGTTAAAACTTTTACTTCAGCTCGAGTAATAGGATATTTAGCAGTGGTAGAAGCTAAAACTTTTTGATGTGCGAGTAATACACTTGGATTAATTCGTGCTCGTCGAACAATAAGAGTTGCATCCGTAATGCAAACTTTAAACTTTACATCGTTTGACCCAACAATTAAATTAAAACTCTCTCTTGATCGAACCAATTTAACACTCATTTCAACACCATTAATTAAAAATTTATCTTGGTTAAAAATGTCACCGTGAAGATGACCAATCATTTCTATTTCCTTACTTTCACTAATCAATTCCTGTCTTTTAACAAATCCTATGTTTTTACCATCTGTAGAATCCATTTTTCCTGCTGTATCCTCATACCAAAGACTACAAGTAAGATGAGATTGTTTAGCAGCAGGGGCATAGTTTAAAAGGGTTTCCATGTATGCTCGATATGCATAGGTATTATTAGGTGGTGATACAAGTTTTTGGTTTAAATAAACATCAAGTTGACTAAAAAGTGAATGCAGCCAATTATTTACAGGTGCTACTATTGTAGTAGATACCAAGTTAGTTGAATCTTGATTTAATACTTTTGCCTTTATGTGGAGTAATGTATGAGACAAATCTATGTAGTCATCGCCGGTCCCAGGAACTTGAAACTCGATAGGTCCATCATCACCAAGAGATGAAATTGGTTTATAATGAATCCACAATCCATTTTCAATGCTAGTTTGTGTAGACGGTAGTGCAAACAAATCCAATTCTGACTTAACGCACTCGCAAGAATGATTATGAAGGAAAGACATATTTAGTTTGAAAATATATCTTTGATATTTTTTGGTTTTAGACTAAGTTTTTTCGCAGCTTTCACTTTAGCAGTTAATGGTGGAATGAACGATGTCAATCGTTTTCTTTTAGTTTTATACCCAGATCCAGTCATGTTAAATTGATCAATTTTCTCATCAGCCTTTCGTTTTAAATTCGTACTAACTTGCTTTAGACGATCTTTTATTGAGGCTTCCATAGGACGGGCTTGAACCATATCCGATAAAAGTCCTACTCCAGCGCTTAATGCCTCCTTACCAATCACTCGAGCACCACTTGAAAGTAAAGGTAAAACTGATCTGAATAACCCCCCTAAGAAGCTCCCAATACCATGACCGCGTTGATATGGTGAACCCTTATAAATTACTCCAACTCCTGATCCAGCTTGATGTGTATAATAATTTTCATATGGACATTTATGATGATCACGAAGAGAATTCATTATTATAATTTTCGGAAATGTAGTTTAATACACACGGTTCCAAACTGGAATGGTATTTTTTGTCCTGTACTCGATCTTATAACTATTTCCAACGTATCGAACTCTCTTCGCATAACAGGTAAGTAGTGAGGTTGAGAGAAAACGTGCATTTTATTTGCACCATAAATGTATTTTGTAGGATCTAATGAAATGACTCTTAATAAAGGAGTCATAACATCACCCACAATCTGAGGATCGATAATATCGCAATATAGAAATAGTTGAGATGGTAACCCTAAGTGTAAATTAGCAGGACACTTTCCAAAATTTCTCTCTAGGAGATTTTTATTTGGTTCATAACCTAGCTGTAAACTTAATTTGGGTGATAATGTTACGGATGTTATATTTTTATCCAATACCGAAATAGACACAAATTTTGTTATTTCATCATAGCGAAATTTCAAGTTCTCTCCGATACCATTTAACACTCTTAAAATATGCTCAACGTTATCATAGTTGGTAGCTGGAATATGTTTTTTGTAGTACACTGTGGATGGCTTATCTTCATTAGGCATTAACATAGATTTTGTAATGTATATAACATTTTCATGGGCTTGAACAGTAAACATGGTACATGGATATTGAAACTCGACAACTCCAACCGACCATTCACCTTCTAATTTTATAGCTTTTGGTAATTTCGTTGAAAAATTTGTGGTCTTGTTATCAGGAAAGTATTCCATTGAACTATTGCTGAGCAAAGTTAAATAGAAACTTTCTTTATTCATATTTCTTTTAAACTAGAAGCTAAAATCCAACTGTTAAATTTATCTGGATAACCTTTCCACTTCACTAATACTTCTTTTCTGTTACCTGAATAACGAGTGTCAATTATTTTATCTATTTTATGTTGTGAGGTGGGGTTGTAAGTGATTTTCTGTAATTCTCTTTCATAAAAAGTACCAATTATTGGTTCATTTTGTAAATCTGTTATTGTATAAACAACCCATGGAGATCTATCAATTATTGAAGATATAATAAATATTTCATCACTCCAATTTGATTCATATCCTTTTTGGAATACATGTTTATATTTAGTTATTCGAACATAATCACCCACATTGAAATTTGGTTTAGGATTTTCTAAAGAAAGTTTTTTTGACCGTCTGTCATAAAGATTAGTCCAAACTGTCATAATATTGTTGGAATTTACATCACATGGGCACATCTTAATACTAGAGTGAAAGCTGTGATTATAAGAGTATATTAAATCTTGTAAAACATCTATATATCTATAAGTATTATTATGAGTGAAATAACGCCACATTTTCATTTTTAGTGTTCTTTGAAATCGTTCAACAATACTGGCCTTAATGTCAGGATTGTTAGTGGTATAGTAATTAATCTTTTTGGATTTAAAGTATTTTTGTACATCTTTTGAAACAAATTCGGTACCTTTATCGGATTGTATGTGAGTAGGTGTTAAATTACTTTCAGTAAATATACTTTCAAAACATTCTTTAGTTGTTTCTGAGTTTTTCTTTTTCATTGGTCTTGCAAAAGCATATTTACTAAATACATCAATAATACAAAGTATATACTTGAAACCATCATTATATTGAGAATAAGTTCGCATATCACTTAAATCAGCTTGCCACAGTTCATTAATATTTGATAGAATGTACCTATTACGCGGGAATTTTTTTCGAATGGGTTTATGTAATGTGTATGTTTCTTGTGATTTTAACCATTCCTTTACTTGCTTTTTATTCATTTTACCCTTCATGGCTTTTGATAATTTATCAATACTACCAAAACCAGCGGGATTAGATGGATCATAATCATCATCATCATTCATCATTACAGCCCTTCACAAGTCCACTGCTGAACATAGGCCTCCCCCAAAGAATGCCACAAAGCACGGTCCTGAGCCACCTGCATCATGGATGCAGGATCATAATAAATCCTGTTAATTTCTTCTAGTACGGAGTCCATTTTTCCCACTCAAGTCCTTTACGTATTTTAGTTGTAGACTTTTTATCTCTACTGCACGGTGTAGAAAACTCTTGAACTTCAATCTCAGAGGGTTTGTTCAGATCTTTTGCTTGAAGTTGGTTAATAAACTCACATCTCCTTGGATTTCCAATATAAGTAAGTGGTACTTTAATATCTTTTAATGCTTCAGCAAATCTAACCCACCCTACCGGATCACTTCTTTTTAGGGGTCTTAGTGAATCATTTATTAAATCAACAATATTACTCCCAGGAATTTTTTCACTATCAATTATGACTGTACCTTCGTTATCCCAATGTATTTTACTTTTACTTGTTTCAACTAAGTTTAATAATAACTGCCCTTTTTTATGATAAGTTTTTGGTATAAAACTGAGTATTTGAGCTGGTGTGTAAAGTGGATTTTCATCATTTTCTTTACTTTTAATGGATCGATTCTCCTCCAGCAAAGATTCAATATCAACTGAAGTTTTTAGATCTCTATCTTTATTTTTAAAACCAATTTTTGACTCATTTGAATCTTCATTAGATGTATCAGAATAAATTGGTAATTTGAGTGGTTGACGATCCTCTTCGGTAAAATGAAGGTATCTTTGCAGTGTTTGTAAATATAATATCCATTTCTTTCGGTCTTCCGTCTTACTATTCATAATATTTTGCATTTCAATATCTAATCGAGATAAATTACTATTAACCTTATTTTCTTGTTTTAATTTTTCAATCAATCCAGGTTCGATAAGTATCATTTTCTTTGCATTTTCCATGTTAACTGGCTAGTCCACTCACTAATCCACTCAATATTGCACCTAATATTGTTGGTAAGAAAGCCCCTCCTTTTTGTATAATTATATTTTTTCTTAGTTTATGTTTACACTTACGTACTAGTTTACGGAGTATGTTTTTATGTTTATTCAATTTTTGTTTATCCTGATCTTTAAGAGGTACTTTTCCTTGTAAAACGTTATGAATACACTCACAAATGCAGTTAATTTCTTCTTCATCACACGTTTTAAGTAATGCTCTTTGATATTTTGGTTTAAGCGTATGCAAAGCGGTTAGCAAATGTTTATACGTTGTGAGTCGACGATGCATCATTTAGCAATGATTTCAATTGTTTGATTCTTGGTGTATTTAAACTCTTTTGTGGGGACGTAGACTGTACAGAAACCATTAAATGGAAAGACATTTGTCTTGATACGACAAAAATCATTGGTATTCTGTTTTAAATCTACCATTAAATATCCATGTGCCTCTAGAGTTGCATCCCTGTAGGCATTTTCAATGAATTTTGGGTTATCTGGTGATACTTGTCTTGCTAAATATCTTATTTGAGTTTTATCTCGAGGGTTTTTAAAATATATTATATAACTTGAGTTTAAAGATATGTCTCTTTGTCCTTTACCCTGATGAAATAAATTTTGTGTTAGATAAAATACACTAAGATTCCTGTGATGACTACCTTTTGTAAATATATCCACAATCCTTCCATCGGACTCTCTCATTAGATCATTAATAATAACAAGATGTGGGTTTTCACCATCAAACATATTAAGATTTGGAATTCCTTGATGATAGTTAACATTTGGTAAATTATATAATGGTTGCATTTCATCAAAGCACCATGTGATCTGATTAAAATCACAATTACATATTTCTGTAACTGATTTTATGAAATTTGTTACAAAATTTGACTTCCCACACCCACTTGGTCCTGCCACAATAGCAGTGAACGGATGGATAAAGTGAAACATAACACACGTCTAAAGTTCAAAGGGGTGAAATAAAAAATGAAAGTGTTGGTGTAAACAATTAATATATATTCCAAAAATTATATAAAACAGAATTATCTGTATACTATTTCTAACACAATTAGTACATCATAATTTTACAATTAACTCAACCTCAAATAAATAGAAACAACAATTAGTACATCATAATTTTACAATTAACTCAACCTCAAATAAATAGAAACAACAATTAACTTAAATTATTTACAATAAAACAATGTTTAAATATGTAATAAACTACATCATATTATAGTATTATCATAATTTTACAATCAATATAAATTTTTCTTAAACGCAGACATAAAAGTAAAAACTATCAACACTTAACGCAGTTTATAATGACCCCAAGCTAATGTTTCAATATTATTATCTAAAATATGTCTCTTTGTGTCATTATATGATAAACCTATCTTATTTAATTTTTGTGTGAAAATTGTGTGTTTAATTGATTTAAATCTAAGCATACTATAATATTGCACTTTTTTATTAAATAGAGAAGACTTATAACTATTCATTGTCATCTTTTTAGTGATACATTTATTTACCCCTTTTGCCTTGGCTATAGTCTTATTCTCTAAGTTAAAAGCGTACATTTTGGATCGTAAACCCACAAATTCTTTCATGATTTTACCATTATTTTCATCTTTAAAAAAACCTAATTTCTTTTTATTTAATTTTGGATATTCAAAAATATTATTTGTATCATAATCTGAGGTATCAAAGTATGATGAAAGGTCAGGTTTTATATCAATGTAAAAAT